GGGAGTTGGTGAAATAGTATTTATTATTGTAATTCATGACTTCTAGAGAATTAGAGGCGGCAATTAGAACAACAGCTTTGTGATTTGCAGTCAAAGCCTCATTAATAATAAGTATAAGTACAAGTAAGTTATCTATCGATAACTGTCTTCTTTTTGAATATATCGCGTAACCCTCGAACATATTTGAGTTAAGTATGTTGTTAGTCCATAAATTCTGTGATAATATTGCTGCTATTGTAATATTTGCAAACACCAAAACACAACATGGACTGCCTGCATGGTTTGCATTGAAAACTTGGTTGTTCCTTTGATGCCAAGAAGCTCGTAGAAAACACATTGAATTATTAATCATTGTATAAGCATCATTAGCGTTGCTTGATTTAATAAACACAGCTGATACAATCGCAGGCTCTAATAATGTTTGATCATTAATCTGGGCATTATCATTAACAGCTTGGTTTACCCAAATGAGATCTTGCAATATTTGTGCATCGTTCTCTAATATTACGTCATAATGTAGGAGATATTTATTTATTAGCCACCTCAGAAGCTCATATACATATGGACGTGATATAGTATACTCCCGTGAAATATTTAAAGTTTCCAAATGTTCTATATAATATTATCTATACTAGTAATATAAAGAGGAAAGATTTGTTTGTTTATTTGTTTGTTTGTTTGAAATGCATAATCTCCGAAACTACTGGACCGATTTGAAAAATTCTTTCACCATTACAATCCTACATTATCCCTAATGAACATAGGCGATAGAATATTTTCAAAAAAGTTAGGGATCCGTATGAAAACTTCGTTAATGTATCCCAAGGTATGAAAAAAATACCAAAAAGAATCCTTATATCGCGTACGCTGCGGAAACTATTGATAATAGAGCAAAGTGATGTGCTACAATTTTATACAGGACATCAATATCTACAAAAATGTCCGCGACACCATGTTTCTAACTATTACAGTTATGTCACAATAACTACTTTTCTATGTTAAAGTATGCAATAGTAATATCGGTACAAACTAGGCCACATTATTCGTACCTAGGTATCCAAATAAATCAGTTCGTATTCAAGACTATATCAGTACCTACACCATGCATAACCACCAATTACATTAGCCATGTAATTTAAGCAACATATTTCACTTTTTAAATATTTTTTAATTCAGCAACCGTCCGTATTGATGTCCCTTTCGAAGTTCGCATGGCGCGAGGCGCAGATGCGTGATATACGCGGGTGAAACCGCGGGGTAAAGCTAGTGTTCTATAATAACAACCATATCTATACTGTCAGTAGATTTAGGTAAAATGATATATTTTTTTTCATGGTAGAGCTATGCTGCAGCTATGTTAGTAGTATATTTGTAGCATGAATGGGTCGGATCGAACGGTGAAGGACCACGCTCTCACAGAATACCAGCGTAAAATAGCAGCTTAACACTGCTGTGTTTCGTATGGTGTTTCGAACCGGAGATCCTATTTACTGGAAAACAGGCATTCCATCTTAGTCCTCACGGGTGACAACGCATCTCTTCTGCATTTTGAGTCGCAAACGAGGATAGATGTAGATGTCTATGAGCCGCAGCAACCACTTACCATCAGGTGGACTGTGTGCTCGTTGATCATACTACACTATAAAAAATTATATGCAGATTTTCAGGAAATTCAAATACGTTTTGCGTGAAAATTACAGCTTGTCCTCTAAAACCACATTACGTAAATAGTCCATCATATTTAACAATTTATACAAATGGTATAATTCTTGATATTAAGTGTTGTTCGGGTTGTGTCAATTGCTTTATTACATCAAGTACCTTATCAAGAACTAAATTATTTCAGTAAGCGTTGACTGGTCCTGAATTTTTGTTGCTAGTAAAGTTTTTATTGCAACTATGACATAGCAATATACAAAAAATTCCTTTGCTTGTTAATTCTGCTGGTAGGTATGAAACACCAGTGAACTTTTTTTTATGATTTGTGCAAATCAAATTTGGATAACACGTTTTAGTACAGATTTCGCACACCTGGTCATAGAATATATTCATGGTTTTGTTAAATGTTTCTATTTGTGACTTTTCTGCTGTTTGTACTTGATAGATGTGCTCTTGTACGACGCTCAAAGAAACCTCTAGCTGTTTTTCAGTAGATTCGGCTCCTCGTATTTCAGACATGTGATGCCGAACTTTTTTAATTCGTGCCTCATGTCATTCTTGTGATTCCGCTGCTCTTAATCGTTGCATGTGTTGCTGAGTATTGTCAAGCTGCGTCTGTCGTTGAGTGTATGTTTCACTGTTCACCTGATCACACCTTTTGATAAGTCGTTGACGTTTCGCGTAAGCAAGTTTTTCTCGCCGTTTTAACTTTGCTTTCCCTAACCTTCTCTTCTTTGTGTTGATGTTTTTTTTTTTCATGTTGTCCCCACGATTATGGAAGAAATATCCATCGATTCTATCAGAGCTTCGTATAGAAGGTAGTATACAACAGGGTTCGCCACTGCACGTTACATTACGTTAAAAGCTAATATACTACAGGGTTCGCCCCTATTAAATTTAAACACAATATTGCAAATTTATTACAATATTACAATTATTTTATTATTTTCGTAATGACGTAGAATTATTGATTCCGTTACTAAGGTAATGTAGTGGAAAAATATTTAAAATAAATTAATTTTTACGGATTTTGTCGTATATTAACTAATTTTTAATACCCGGTTTCGAGTACTTTACATCCAAGTCACGGGGAGGTACTGAGGTGTTTGACGTCCCAATGCCATAGTTTACCACGGCTACCTTCATTTTAAAATTATTAATTTTTAGTCAAATCTACGAAGAATGAGCTTATAGTATCTTGAAGTCTTGCAGTTCTGTGCTTGGGTCGAGATTTAATTTTATTAATTATAGGATCTCAAGCAGAGTCCATTCGCCCATTCGTTCCGTTTCCCAGCTATCTTCTCTATTGAAATAAGGATGTTTTTCCTTTCAATAGCCTCGCGAATTAAGAAGTATTAACACAAACGGCGAGTACATCACACACTTTAGATTTGTGAAGGGTTGTAATAATTATGACGATGATGAGAGCCATGCTGCAGCTATATTAGTAGTATAGTTGTAGCAATAATGGGTCGGCTCGACCCGGGAAGGACCACGCTCTCACAGAATACCAGCGTAAAATAGCAGCTTAACGCTACTATATTTCGTATTGTGAGTGTAGAGAACCGGAGACCCGTTTTACTGGAAAAAAGACATTCCATCTTAGTCTTCACGGGTGACAAAGCATCTGCATTTTGATTTGTAATCGAGGATAAATGTAGATGTCTATGGGCCGCAGCATCCACTTACCATCAGGTGGACTGTGTGCTAGTTTATCACGCTATTCTAAAAAAATATTGCCAGAGTTCTATTAAAGAAAGTCACAAAGTGAGAAAAAACGAATTTGATTGAAGTGTTCCTAAAAGTAAAGCAAATTATATAAGTATTTGTTTTATTTTCAATCAGTCTTATATATGTATAAAGCAATGTAAAGTTGTGAGAGCAAATAAAGCAAACATTGTTAATATTACTATTTAAAAAGTCAGGTGTAGTTACTGCTTCACCCTTGAATCTAAATTCTATTGAGGACTGAAAGGGTAAAAGGGCATACTCGTAACATACACGTCGAAAGGCATAGAAAATAAACGAGCATTGGATCAATTTCCAAATAATCAAGCACGTGTTTTATTTTTGTACCCGTATTACATTATTTATGAAGTGACCTTTCAAAAGCTAAATCTATTTGGCTTCAACTATAATAAACGACTAGTTTTGATAGAAAGTGTGAAAAAAGTTTTTTCTTAAGCATAATAAAAATAAAGCTAAATAATATTCGAGTATTTATCGTGTGATGGCAGTGTAAGATAATCCATCACTCCAATATAGTGTTGCCCAAATGCAAGAACAAGACGAGACTTAGCCAGTCTTGGTCTTGGTCTTGCGCCAATACACCTGGTCTTGTTCTTGGTCTTGGTATTGCGCTCTCAGTCTTGTTCTTGGTCTTGGTCTTGCAGCAAGAGTCTCGCAAGTCTCGCAAGCCTATTGCTATTTATTAAACGTTACTTTAGATCTTAGAACAACTTAACAAAGTAGGCACATTTTGAGCTTGAATTAACATAGCCATAGAAAGACCAACCAAATTAATAAATGTCTAAACATTTAATGAGAAATTCGAAAAATCAACTAATACCGGGTGGGGTTTGACACCACGACCTAAGCGATCCGTGCCGATGCTCTAACCAACTGAGCTGTCTACCATGTCTCACGGCCACGGGAGTTAGTCTGTTTCTTAATAAACGTTTACATTTAATAAGCTTACATGTGCTAAAACTTAGTCAAAACATATAAAAAACAAATTAATGACATTAACTTGACTGTATTATAAATAACATTATCTGTCTAGAAAGAGATTGATAGACCCTTATATGAAATGGAATAAAAGAGTTATACAATTTACCATTAATTTAAATAAAAAAATAAAATACAATACAAATTAAATTACATAACAGTACACAACAGCTTCGACATTACTGTTACTTTATATTAATTCTTTTGACCAAGAATTAATACAAAGTAACCATCTGGCTGACTCATCACTTAACCTATTTCTATGTTTTCTAATTACTAATGATGCTTTGGAAAATAATCTCTCAGCAGATACTGAAGTTGCAGGTATTGAAAGAAAATCACGGATATTCTGTCTCATGCGTCCTCCAACACTCTAAAACGTCTTCCGAACTGGCGGCTCTGGGTTTACATAGGTACTCCTCCAACTCGTCTATAACTAAGCCTTGATGAAAAGATCCAGATCCAGATGACGTCGAGGGACATGCATACAGTTTCTCAAAGTCTATTACGTCTTCATCTTCATCATATTCACATATTTTCTTTTCATTTCTTGGTGATTCTAGAGATGTATTCACTGAGTGTAGACTTTTATATTCTTTATAAAGTTCATTAAATTAGCGCAGGCTTTCTGTTTTAATTTGCTTCCCCCATAATGTCATGTCAAAAGTCTGAGTTTTATGCCTTGGGTCTAAAATTAAAGAGGTACAATAAATCCAGTTGCTCTTTTTATAATGTTTAAGCATTTTGTCTCGAGCTGCTTGAAAACCCAGAATGAGCCTTTCATCCACTTCGGATCGATTAGGTTTCTCATCTAATTGTTTTACCATGGATTCAATTTTATCGAGCAAGAGATTGAATGATAAAATGACTAGCGGTAATGTAACATATTTTTCTCCGCCAAGTTTCGTTGATAGAAGTTTAAAGTTTATTAGAAACTTATGTATTTTTTCGAGTATTTGCCATTCACTATCTGTGATTTGAAAATCATTCAATTCGGTGACAGAAGTGCACAATATGTTAATGCCAGTTCTCACTTTTAAACCAAATTCAATCATATCATGTGTGGAAGTCCATCTCGTTGGACAGTCGAGTATGGGGTTCAGATTTGATGGCACGCCAGCTGCTTCACAAGCAGACTGAAACTTCCTCTTCAATATCCCACTTCTTTTTATTTTACTGGAAATACTGCGTAATTTTGTTATAGCTGTAGGTGAGTCAGCAATATTTGGCGCATATTCTTCATCTTCCTCAGTTTCGTCTTCATTGTCTTCATACTGCTGTTCTTGTCCCTTATTGTCAGTTTCACTGTGTAATGCTAAGGTCTTTAATAAATCTTGTACACCAAGGTTCAAAATGTGAGCAAAGCACCGGAAATGTTGACTGTCTGAATCAAAGTGTGGCAGCTGTTTGTCCAATTCATGCATAAATTTGGTATTTGCAGTTGCGTTGTCGACCGTGATACCCTGTATTTTATCAATTATGTCATATTCCAATAAACATTCGTGGAAAATCGTTGCAATATCTTTCCCAGTATGTCGACCGCGTGATGGTATAAAATCAAGGAATACAGATCGATACTTCCATTCGTTGTCTATATAATGAATAGTGACCCCGTAGTAACTCCTATCTGCAATTGACGTCCATCCATCAATGGTAAATGACATTTTAGAATTTAATATGCACATTTTTTATATTATTCGATTAGCATTGTACAAAATGTTTACACGTTTTAAGTGTGTTAAAAGTGTCTACAATATTTATCAAATGGGTGACGACATATTCGAACACTTTGTGTTCAAAATCACACACTTCCAAAAATCGAGATTTGCAGTGAACTTATTGAACATGTTCTATTAGGTAATAATAATAATAGTAAGTAATTATTATAAACCCATATAGTTAATATTATAATAATTACTTCATCATCATCATTACAGCCCTTCACAAGTCCACTGCTGAACATAGGCCTCCCCCAAAGAATGCCACAAAGCACGGTCCTGAGCCACCTGCATCCATCGACTTCCTGCATGTCTTACCAGGTCGTCACTCCATCTCGTGGGGGGACGCCCTACACTTCGCCTACCGGTACGAGGCTGCCACTCGAGAACCTTTCTTCCCCATCGGTTGTCGGTTCTTCGAGCCATATGGCCGGCCCACTGCCACTTCAGCTTACTAATTCGTTGGGCTATGTCGGTTACTCTGGTTCTACTGCGGATATCCTCATTCCTAAGTTTATCACGCAGAGAAACTCCGAGCATAGCCCTCTCCATAGCTCGCTGAGCGACCTTGAGCTTCCTCATACGGCCAGCAGTGAAGGACCACGTCTCAGTTCCATAAGTCATTACTGGCAACACGCACTGGTTGTACAATTTCGTTTTCAGGTTTTGAGGTATGTCTGACGAGAAGATGTGTCGTAGCTTCCCGAACGCTGCCCAGCCGAGTTGAATCCGTCGATTGACCTCTCGGTCGAAGTTGGACTTACCTAGTCGGACTATTTGTCCCAGGTAAACATACTCGTCAACAACTTCGAGCTTAGTGTTCCCAACAACTACCGGCATAGGTGTGACATGGACATTAAACATGATCTTTGTTTTGTCCATGTTCATCTTAAGACCTATCCGTTGGGAAACACTATCGAGGTCATTGAGCATAGTGCTTAGGTCCTCCAGCGATTCTGCCATAAGGACTATATCGTCGGCAAATCGAAGGTGAGTGATGTACTCGCCATTGATGTTGATACCGTATCCTTTCCAGTCCAGAAGCTTGAAAAGGTCTTCCAATGCAGCGGTGAAGAGTTTCGGGGATATGACGTCACCCTGTCTTACACCTTTCTGCAATTGGATAGGTTTCGTACTCTGGTTCTGTACTCGGATAGCCATCGTAGCCCTACTGTACAAGCACTTCAACACTTCGATATACCGACAGTCAACTTGGCACCGCTGAAGGGACTGCAGCACCGCCCAAATTTCGACGGAATCAAAGGCTTTCTCATAGTCCACATACGCCAGACATAGTGGCAAATTGTACTCTTCGGACTTCTGTACAATTTGCCGAAGGGTATGTATGTGGTCTATGGTGCTAAAGCCCTTTCGGAAACCGGCTTGTTCGGGAGGCTGGAAGTCGTCAAGTCTGCGCGCGAGACGATTCGTAATGACTCTCGAAAACAGCACGTAGACGCGGCTCAGAAGGAAAATCGGTCTGTAGTTCTTCAAGAGAGCGTTGTCACCTTTCTTGAAGAACAAGACCACCGCACTTCTGCTCCACGCCTCCGGTGTAATGCCACCATGAAGGACGGAATTAAAGAGCTTCTGAAGGACTTCAAGTACCGGTCTTCCACCCGCTTTCAGAAGCTCCGCTGTAATTCCATCCTCGCCTGGGGCCTTACCGTTTTTAAGGTGCTGGAGAGCCATTCTAATCTCGCTCAGACTGACGTCCGGGATATCTTCGGAATAGTGTCGGATGAGACTCGCTCTTGGATCGTTACTCACACTTGCGTGTGGCTCCAACGATGACGTGTACAGCTGCCCATAGAACCTCTCAATCTCACTCAAAATCTCAGGTGTCCCGGAAACGATGCTGCCACATTCTGTCTTCAGCTTTGACAGTTGGCTCTTTCTGGCAGACAGATCTCTGGCAAAGACTTTGGAGCCTTGGTTCCGCTCGATCGCTTCTTCAATACGAGCTGTATTGAAGTTGCGTAAGTCCCGCCGCATGCATTTGGAGATCTGTCTGTTCAGATGCCTGTATGCTGTCAAGTCTGTTGAAGAATGTAGCTTCATCTCCCGTCTAACAGCCATGAGATTAAGAGTGTGATCGGAGAGTTTTTGTGTTCTTCTGCGGCGGGTCTTGCAGAACTTAGCTCCGACCGCATGGACAGTTTCCATGAGCTTGTCATTCATATCGTCCACTTCATTGCAGTCTTCTAGGCACTGAAAACGGTTTTGTAACTCGAGCTGAAAGGTCTCGGGACTTTGGAACAGAGCACGAGGGGGACGGAGCGTTGACTTCATTAGACGAGACCTCTCCAACTTAACGTTTAGGTTCAGTGTGCCTCTAACCATTCGGTGATCGCTACCAGTTTTCACCCTCGCGATCACGGAGACATCACTGAACAGTTGTCGTCTGGTCGTCATAATGAAGTCAATCTCATTTTTTGTCGAACCGTCGGGGCTCGACCAGGTCCACTTCCTGTGGGGCCGCTTCTGGAAGAAAGAGTTCATCATAAAGAGTCCCTCTTTCTCCATGAAGTCGGCCAGCTGCTGGCACCTTGGGCTCCGTTGCCCTATTCCAAATTTCCCTACTTTCAGCTCACCATTCTCTCTTGTGCCTAGTTTTGCATTGAAGTCTCCCATTAACACCGTATATTGGGTTTTGGAGGAATGCATGGCTCTAGAGATATCCTCATACATTTCCTCCACCTCCCCATCGGGGTGTGCCGAGGTTGGTGCGTAAACCTGTATGACCTTCAGCGAATACCGTTTGGTGATTCTGAGTATAAGGTACGCAACCCTCGTCGACACACTCCCGATCTTTACAACGTTGTTAACGAGAGACTTGTGGACGATAAATCCGACACCTCCTTGGAACAGATGGTCGCCCTCCCGGTGATAGAGCAAGTTGCCGGATTCGAGGATTACCGTGTCCTCCCCCTCTCTTCGGACTTCGGATAATCCTATAATATGCCAGCGCAACTTGTCTATCTCTTCTTCCAGCTCCACGATCTTCTCGTCAATCCTCAGGGTGCGTGCGTTGTACGTTGCCAGGTCGAGTCGTCTAAGGTGGCAACCGAACCTCCACCGGAGATTCTTAGCACCCCCTGCCCCGCCGTTACCATGGTCGCCACCGTAGCCAGGAATAGCGGGGCCGCCGGGGACTGGGGGCCGTCTCTTAGTAACTTTATTCATTTGGGGGGTATTTGCCATAGTTGCCACGCTTGGCGAGCGGGTTGGCAACCGCAGTTTTTATTTAATAATTACTTACTAGAATAAATTATTATGGTATCTACCTATCCTTACCATTATCTAATTACAATATTCCTTGCGAGATCAGCATAATGTATTCGTGTCCATTCTGAGCACCCGGAAACTTATTTTATTTTTTTGAACATGTACTCTGTGGCGGCATTCAAACAGTGTCAAATGTAGTGCGTGCGGCACATGAGTAAAGAAACCGACCAGAGGGGAAGCTACATACAAACGGCTTGCGGCGAATACACCCATACATAGCGCAGCGATGTGTGCGTGAGCTCTCACCGACTGGTTCACCGACGCTCCGTCGGGGTACAAACCGGTTTGCGCCGGCTCAGTCAGAGTATCCATGAAAGGGCTGTTAGTCGTGCGCATTTAAATAAATAGACCAACAATATTTCGAAATTTTATACATCAATTAATTTATTAAGTTTTTTTTTGCAATTATTAAATAATTAGATTTAAGTATTTTAATAAAAATATTTAAGAATTAAGTTATTATAAATTTATATAGGTAAATAATAAGTGTTTTGTATAAGCAAAAATGTCTAATAGTTGTACAGTATTCATGAATAATTCTAGAGAAAATAACGATATTTCCTTTTTTTGTACCCGAGAGATCAAGTGAACTAAGTACCTTTTTACGTATTATATACAATAAAACTAGGTAATAACATTGATAGGTAAGTGAGAATGTGTTAGACAGGTACGTCGCCGAGTGATGAAGTGGGTCTCACCTACTTGAAACGTTAGTCAGTTTAACCTTGACAGTGCTGCAGATGGCAGGATATCCTACGTAATAAGGCTAAATGTGTGACTTTATCCACCCACTTTAGTATAGAGGTAGGTTGCTTCCTGGGGAAGGATATAAGCTACTTTTTGCGAGTCGCGACCCCAGGGGTAAATGCCACTGCATTATGGTTGCATACAATCGCCAGACATTGGTAGGGGTGGTGGGATTGGTGTTGGTGGAAGTAGTGCTGGTGTTGGTGGATAGTGTAACTGATGGTGTCAGTAGTGGTGGAGGTGGTAGTATCGTAGGTAGTGGTAGTAGGCAGTGGACCAACAGTGGCTCCATCAACACCACTATTTTTGCCTTAAATTTTTCACATGCATTATGTGGCACCCTATCGGAATAGGTATAAATTTTCGACGTTGTTAAGAAGCTTCCCCTTTGGTCCTTACTCTTTACTCTGTGCGTGCGGCGCGGCGGCGACGATTGAATGCGATATCAAAGCAGCAAAGAAGCCGCCGGCGCGTGTATCTTGACCTTGTACTTCCGAATAGCTGCAAAATTTCTTTGACAGGTCAGTATTCGACCTTTGATGATGCCGACAACAAGACGCCGCGCACTATCAAAGTGCCGATGGTCAAAACTAGGGATGCACTGTTTTTTCTTTTAATGGATATTTTCATCCGCTATGTATGTTTATGGTATTGTTCGTAATGCGCATAAGTCCAATTTTCCAAATTTTTTTTATATATTTTTTGCGTCTCATAGCCTCCCTAAGCGTATACCCGAACTCCTATAAAAAGACCATATGATTTAAACAATGATCTAAATTTAATATTGATTGAGGAAGCTTCTAGGAGATTGATATTAAAGTCTCCACATATTACAACAGATTTATTCTGTTTATTAAGCTTAGCAAAAATTTCCTCCATATTTTTTTCAAAAGTATCGTATATAGAACATG